ATGCCAGTAGAACCCCTTCCACAGTTATGACAACCAAAAATGTCACAAAATTGTCCACTGTTGAGAACTACTGGATTAAGAGATCATTATCCTGAAACACTGCAGACTGGGGCCAAAAATCATGTCATGTGCCATTTTATTTATAGATCAGTGTGGGTGGAAGTAGTGCCAGCCATCTTCAAGCTGTTAGGCTAGACTCAAAGCTCAGTGTAGACCTGCACTCTCTGATACCATGTATCTGTGCAAAAATGCATCCGTGTGAGAATGGCACCACGCCTCTCCTGTACCAGAATGTCAGTGCTCTGCCTTCTACGTCCTCTCTCCTATGATAGCAGTGAAAGTGTCCTTTCTGTTGTTGAATGCATTGATTGAAAGACTCTCAATGTACTTGGAAAGGCATTTGGAAGGTAAGTATTAAACCAAATAATCCTGACCCTCTGTCCCCAAAGGGATCTTCTAACAAGCTTTAGGAGATCTCAGGCTACGCACTGGCCACATGCTAATACTTTCTACCACCAAGCTCATTTCACAAGAATCACCCCTAAGTAATTTCCACTCTTCTCTGTTCTAAGTCTATTTTGACTTAACTTCCTTGCCCTTATTTCCCCTTTGGCTGGTTTAACTAACTTTATGATTTATTCCTCATAAAGTTAATCAGTTCCCTGCCTTTTAAAACCTCTCTGGCTACTGCTAAGCTACCATCTTTCCCTAAAGTCTCCCCATGGAAAGTTTGCATTTAATAACGGAAGTTGCCAACATCTTGACCTCTTTCAGATATGACAATGGATGATGTTCGGGAATACGAGAAAAACATGCATGAACAAACCAACATAAAAGTTTGCAATCAGCATTCCTCCACTGTGGATGACATAGAGAGCCATGCCCAAACAAGTGTATGTAGAATTTTTAAAACATGTTGCCCACCCTGTATGAAACCAACACGTAAACTGATCTTTGAAATACTGCAAATGCTCTTTTCCCAACCGTCCACAAAATCATGTCATTGCCCAAGAGGCTGTTGGTGAAGATGCTGAGCTGGGTCTAGAGCAGGCAGTGTCGCCTCTCTCTTCCAGACATTTCAATTCTTTAAAGTTGCTTGACTTGGGGGTTGTTTTGGTCATAAAACCAAGAACATGGAGAGTGGAAACATATTGTGATACTAGTGAAATGGCCTGCACTGAACATAAAAAGAGCACAGGAGTAAAAATGGGTGTCGTATGTAAACTAGAACAACATGTCAGTAACTTTTCAAAACATAGTTAACACTTACTTGTTCATTCAGAGGAGGGCTTCTGGCTCATCTGCTATTTTGGGTTTCTTTACATGTGCTTTGAAATGCTTCCTAAGGCTCTTTATAGCTATTTTACCCAATCAGTTCTTTTTTACTTAGGGTAATCTCAAGACAGAACTGCAGTCTGCACACACACAGGCTGAGTAGTGAAGGGCTGATCACGGGAAATGTGCTGAGCTGCACAGACGATCCAGCCTGGGACTTAGCAAAAGCCTCAGAGCCTGAGGTTATTTAGTCGCACATGGGAAATTAAGAGCTTGTGGTGTTCACCAGCATCTTAAATAGAGTCATCTCTACATCCTTTTTGCTAGTGAAAGGAAAAACAGTCAACAAAGAAAAAAGTAATCACCAAGTCATTTTATGGGTCTTCAGCCATACAAAGAGCTGGGATTTCTTTGGGGTCCAGCTTGAGTTGTTTGTCAGCCCAGCACCTGGAATAATACATATTAGATTTAAAAAAAAAAAAATCCAAGAATGCAGGTAGAGAAAATTGAGAAGTGGCTGTTGTTGTAAATAGATGCTTTAAAATCGTGAAGACCTTCTGGTTGCACATTGGAAATTTTAGTTAAGATTTTAGAGCATGACTTTGGAATATGCCTGAAAAGCTTACGGGCTGCCATTGGCTGCATGTGACTGCCCTTGAGTCTGCAAGGGCCCTAACTCTTCCTGCCCTGCTTTGCATGCAGTGATTGGGTCGCAGGAAACTGTTGGGGCAAGACTCACTTGAAGTGTTTCCCTTCTACAAATGTACACATTCCGATAAGACTTCCCACTCCTCTCTCCCTGTTCTAAAGTTAGAAATGTCTTTAAGGAAACTATTCTTGAATTTTCATCACTTTCAATTGCCTTTTCCTTTTGGAATGTCAGATACTAGTTCCTCCTCAACTGATCTGAAAGCTGATCACTATAAATATGTCCAGACGTAGGACCAAGCCACAGGGAAAGAGGACACTGGGGATGTCTCAAGGGCATCAAGCCAGTGCTTTTCACCTTCTCATTTCTTGAAGTTTGCAGCTTAAGGCTCTTTGCTTGGTTTTCTTTTAGTTTTACTCTGAGTATTATAAAGTCAGTTTCACTATATACAAGGTGATAAGCTAGAAGTCCCATGCATTCTCTGGCTGCAAATCACAGTTGTGACTTCAGCGTAAGATATACCCTACCCACTGAGAAGTTACACAAAGTGATTATTTTGAAAGCTTGTGACGTTTCCTTTATTCTTTGGAATTCCATGAAATTGAGGATCATTTATCTTTCCACAGTCTCTCTACACTATCACAATGAAAAAAAAAAAAAAAACAGTTAAAATCAAGAAGCTGCTATGCATCACAAATAAAACCTGCATGGGTGCTAAATGAAATTTAAATAATCCACCTGAGCAAGGATAGATTAGATTGAAATTATGCAAAATTAACATTCCTGAACACAGCATAAGGAAATAACAGTCTTGTTTTCAATTGAGGGCTTTCAAAGCCTTCAAGGAAGGGAACTTCTAAGGGACTGGGAATGGAAAATTAAAATTCTGTGCTTTGGATGATTTCTGCCCCCTGATGGATGCATGAAGTAGAGCACCATGCACAGATGCTGGTTAGAAAGTCTAATTTCTCAAAGATGCTATTTGTTTATTCTCTCAAAAACACACCATAGTTCAATTCAGTAAACTTTTTCTGAGAGTCTTGACTTTACTTCAAAGTAAATAACTCCTTTTTTAACCTTAATTTCATTTCTTAGCCAATTGCCTTAGTGTTTTTTAGAAGTAGTAAATTGCCAGGTGCAGTGGCGCATGCCTACAATCCCAGGAACTTCAGAGGCCAAGGTGGGAGGATCACAAGTTAAAGGCCAGCCTCAGTAATTTAGCAAGACCCCTGTCTCAATAAAAAATAAAAAGGATTGAGGATGTAGCTCAGTCATAGAGCACCCCTAGGTTCAGTCCCTAGTACCACCAAAAAAAAAAAGAAAAAAAGAAAACAAAGTGGTAAATTAATAGGATATATTGTGAGTTTTATATTATGTCAAAACAGTTGCTATTTTTTTATTTTTGTAAAAACTTTTCCCTTTCAGGAAATTTTAATAATTATTCAGAAGGATTTCATTTTATGGAAAGTTTCTGGTTTGCTCAGATGTTATAAAACCTAATGATTAATACTGTATCATGAATGTTCATTCCATACTTAATATTTCTAGAATGGCTATGTGGTTTCACAACAGTTTAGTCATGCAGCATTATCTAAGGAAGTTTCAGTTACTAAGTTCATGACAGAGGACAAGAGAGAATGAAAAATGAGTCTCTGGAAAGTCAAAATAGATGAAAATCCATGGGCAGCAGATTTCACATTTTACTCAAAGACAAGCCCTTAGGCCTTCAATCGGTGCCTATTCTAATAAGCCCAGTTACCTGTTGCCCTATTCCTGGTAAATAAAATGTCAAAGGTTACCAGACTGGCAGTAGTTAATGGTAACCCTGACAGGACTGGGGGTATAGCTCAGTGGTAGGGTGCTTGCTTGACATGCGCCAGGCCCCGGGTTCAATCCCCAGCCCTGCAATAAATAAATAATAATAACATTAATTAATACAGTTTCTGAAAATGAGAAAAGTGATAGGAAGCTATAAAGAACAGACCCTGAGAAGAGAATCATCTCTGGATAGTTGCACAGTGACACAATATAGCTTGTCTTCAAAGTAGTAAGTGTGTATGCACTAAATTCATTAGGGAAAGGTTTACATCCTTTAAAATGCTGCTTTTAATTTCTCACTTAAGAAGGGAATTTTAGGTATTTGAAAAATCTACATCACCCCACAATGCCTGTTAAATGAAGCATCGCTGACTTATCTGTTGAATTACAGATAATGCTTTTTTCCTCTTAAGGACAATCCTTGCTCATTAAATGATCCTCCCTTTTCATTCTCTATTATTTTTCTTTCAAGTTGCTTTGAGAAATGGTTTTATTTTCTTGGCTTTGGGGTAATTTTCAGGCTTATTATTGTTGTCTTCTTATTTGTATTTTAAGCTGAATTAAAACATAACAATCTCATAGCGGATACATAGTTAGGAAACCAGGAACAACAGCACCTCCGTGCCTCTTCAGAATACCCAAAAAAGAAAAAAAAAAAGAGTGTATTTATTAAATAAGAAGACAGCATGCCGAGAAATTCTGACTATCTACCTGAATTTACCTTATAGAGATATATCAGGGTTTTTTTTTTTCTTTTCTTTTTTTGTGATCTGAAGATGACAATAATATGTATCATTTCAGGACCACGGATTGCTTTAATTACTTTCTCTTTATAGAAGAGATGACCAGGTCTAATACTAGCTCAATATACCCCGCACCATACCCACAATGCATGTACACACGCACTCACACACATTTGTGTACACACACACACACATATACACACACACACTGTATATGGGTCTAGTCATGTACACTTCTTTTAAGTATTTATCCAGAATACTCAAAATACTGGCTCAATAATGCTCTGGAAGATCTTAGATGGGTGTACACAAAGGAATATTGTTTCCAGGGTGTGTCTCAGTAAAATGGAAGATAACTGAGGATTTAGTATTTCCATGACAATTGGGGTTTGTGATCAGAAAGAGCCCCCTTAAGGATGGGGTTCCCAGAGTTCCTTTGAAGCCAGGTGAAGTGATGAATCTGTTTGCATCTCTTCTAAGTGACAGCTCAGTTTTCTTTCTTTTTCCCTTTGAAGACATGACAATGGATGAAGTCCGAGAATTTGAACGAGCCACTCAGGAAGCCACCAACAAGAAAATTGGCGTTTTCCCACCTGCCATTTCTATCTCGAGCATTCCCCTGCTGCCTTCTTCCGTGCGCAGCGCCCCGTCCAGCGCCCCGTCCACCCCTCTCTCCACAGATGCACCAGAATTTCTGTCAGTTCCCAAAGATCGACCCCGGAAAAAGTCAGCTCCAGAAACTCTCACGCTTCCAGACCCTGAGAAAAAAGCCACTCTGAATTTGCCCGGCATGCACTCCTCAGATAAGCCACGTCGGCCCAAGTCAGAGTGACCTCACCCGGAGATCTCATGGGTTTTATATTTTCATTTTGTTGTTGTTGTTGTTGTTTTTTAAGAATCTTCTGATATAGGAAAAGACTGCTTTGTCACTCAAACATGTTCCTTTGATCTCTGAGTGTGCATGGGGTAAAGTAATTTCACAAATAATATGAATCCTAAGTATGCCACACAGCGTCATAGTATATTTAAGATGTAAGACTTGCAAAAAACCAGAAGGGATCTTCTGTAGACACAGCTATAAGTCAGGGAGGAAGCCTTGGTATTGGGCATTTGGTGAGGCTGGCATGGACTTCAAGGGTAAATATATGAAAACTTCATACCACTTTGTTGCCAAGTGTGGTAAAATAGTAAAGTCGATTTCCTCCCATCAGACCTGAAATTCTCAAAAAATACTCTCAGGCATCACAAACCTAATTGTTAAATTTTGAACTGCTGACCACCAATACTTGAATACCAGTAGTTACTGAGATTTTGATTAATCTGACTCAGGATTTGGGGCCGAGTTAACTCCTTAAATTTTTGAAAATTTTAATTACGAACGTATAGAGGCTCCAAGTGCAATTGATGATAACTTATTTATACCTTTCACAGAATTTAATAATAAAGATTCCACTTGTTTCTGCCTTTTAATAACTTTCCCCTTGTGCCCTTGTGGCCTCCGAAATCTTTCAGAATTGCATGAACAAATGTGACTATAACCAATTTATTTTGGAATGGTTTAGTTTAGGAACCAAGAGACCCAGGTGAAACAAGCATCTTTTTTTCTGTACAGGTACCAACAAACCTTGACTTGCCAGCTACCATCATCCATTAAGATTCTCAGAATTTGCAATTAACTGAATAGAATTCATTGACTATTTGCCCATTTGAAGATATCCAAGGGTAGAATAAGCTAACTGGGCTTTAACACTGTTAGAGGTCTGGTATGCAGACCATGAAAAAGGGAATTGTCTCCCACTCCTCTCCTAGTTTTCCTTAGTCATCCAGACATCCCTGGAATGGATCGCCCACCACCAGACCTTAGAAAAGACTGTCATTCTCTTGCTCCTTCCTTAAAATCCAAATTTTGGAGCCTGAGGGTGTAGCTCAGTCATAGAGCACTTGCCTAGCTTGTGGGAGTCCCTGGGTTTGATCCCCAGCACTATAGAAAGAAAGAAAGAAAGATCCAGATATTAGGAATGTTGCAGAAATAAGTAAATACTGCCAAGGTAGAGGAGAGCATGAGCAGAACTGGTGGCTCCTATTTGTAAAAAGAAGGAATGATAGCTGGGCGCAGTAGCATATGCCTGTAATCCCAGCAGCTTGGGAGGCTGAGGCAGGAGGATTTCAAGTTCAAAGCCAGCCTCAGCAAAAGTGAGGTGCTAAGCAACTCAGTGAGACCCTGTCTCTAAATAAAATACAAAATAGGACTTGGGATGTGGCTCAGTGGTTGAGTGCCCCTGAGTTCAATCCCTAGTACCCACTCCCCAAAAAAGAATAAGGAATGATAATAAATGTCCATGAGTCTTGCTTTCATTTCTGCAAGTGGTGTGAATGCAAGATTCGAACAAGATTGACAGGAGGCAAGATCATTCATCAAAGTGGCAGAAAGAATTCTCTTTTTGTCCAAAGAGAAATCTGTCACTGTTGCACCTCACTGCCTTTAAACACAGAAGGGAGGGCAAGCAGAATCTCAGCATTGATATTTGTCCTTCATGAGAGGAAGAAAACAAGGTAACTGGGCAACTCCAGAGCCCACGCCCTAGCTAGCCTTTCTGACCGTCACCTCCAACCTCAGGAAAGGGGCCTTCCCAAAACAGAGATTCCAAAGGAAACAGTGTAGACCAAGGAGCAGATTCTCCTTCCCTCAGCCTCAGTGGTGGCCAGTGCCTGCTTCCCCCACCCCCGCCCCCAGTGCTCAGCACTCCATGTTGTCTTTTGCAGATTGACACCCGCCCCCAAGGTGCAGGCGCTGGACCCATGAGCCCAGCACCATCTTTCTTTATCTATAGTCTGACATTTAGCTTAAAGGAAAATAGACCCAGTACTCAAAGGAAACCAGTCACAAATAGCTTAGATAACAGTGCATCTTTTCCTTAAGAATGATAGTATCATAGTAAGAAAACCTCTTTGCATGGTATGGAAGCATGAATTTTGCTTGTGGGAAAACTTCATCTTTTATCAAACCCCTTGGACTTTTCAATGGCTCCCTCTCCATGAAGTAGTACTTAATAAGAATGTTTGGCTTTAGAAAGCAAAATTCTACTTTCAGAAGACAAGGAGATAGCATATGTATTTGCTTACTGTCTGCGAGCTGAAATCAAGGTAGGGGTGGGATCATTATTTTCACATAGAACAAATTTATTCTGTGCAGGTTGTTAACACATCTGGCACCTAGTTTTTCCATTAATACCATTGCTATTTTCCCTTTTTATAAAGTAGCTTCTGCTGTCAAAGTCAATAATTCAATATGCTTTAGAAAGCTAATTTCTGATTTCCTTTTGTGACCTTTCTTTCTTTTATAGCCAGTATAATACCACAGACATCAATTTCGAAGCTGCCCATGATGGTGTGATTCTTAAGTAACAAAGTGGGTGTGCTCTTAACATACGTTCAGTTTTTCTGTCTACATATGATTTGTGTGCAGTACAAAATGGGGGGTGCAGATATTCCTTTAGCTGCTTTGAATATTTAATCCAGTCATCACATGGCATAAATGACTCAATATTTTACACATCTTGGTTTCCAAGTGTCATTTCACCTTCTCCATATGCGGATTTGTTATTGTGGGATACAAGCCTGCGATGAATGTGTACATAGAACATTAATAATTCTTATGAGGATGGAAATTAAATGGCTGCATGATGGAAATTTAGAAGAAGAAGAAGAAAAAAGCAGAAACTTGAATTTGCTAAGCATGTTTGAGGAAAAATAGAATCCTTAACTCAGTGCCTCTGTCTGCAATGTGGAAACCTTCAACTTTACTCACCAAAATTGTATTATACCTGTATATATATAAATATAGGGTAGTGAGTTCCATACCACCAATTTTAAGTCTCTGGTAGCCAAATGAAAACAAATAATCCATAGGATAACACATATATTCACCCCTCTTCATCTCTGATGTTAGTGGAGACTATGAAAATGGCCGTAAGGTCCATTACTTTGAATGGGTTTCGAGTGTGAAATCTCTGTAGTTTTTGTTGACTATAGCATAGCATTCTTGCCTTGGCTGTGCTTTCCTGGGAGAGAGAGAGAGGTCTTCTTATTTTTAGTGCATAAACTCTGTCTGAAGTCACCTCTGAAGATCATTTCATTTTAAGCTGTAGAAAGACAAAGCAAAGAAAATGGGTAAGAATGAAGGAGGCTGTGACACTTTTATTTGCCACCATTATCCCTGAAACCATAGGAGTTCATTGGTGAACTCGTTTATAAATGCTTCTGTTACGGTTTTGCATCTATGTGTAGGGGGAATGGTTTTGATTTGTTTGGAGGTATATATTAGCCATGTTTTGGGTTGTGAAAGTAAGTACCAGCCAGTCATGGATGTATAATGAAGACACTTAAACAACCCAACAATACTTCTAAAAGTAAATTGTGTGATTTTATTTCAAAGTAAAATAATGAACTAAGAAAACAGATGCTGACAAATCTTGATAAATCATTTTCAGTAAAAGTTTCAGGATGATTGTTATTTATGAATATTTTTAAATTCTACTTTCTTCCTGGGCTGGGGATGCTGCTCAATGGTAGAGTACTTGCCTAGAGTGTGCAAGGCCCTAGGTTCAATCCCCAGCACTACATAAAAATAACAAATAAATATGGGGCTGGGGCTCAGTGATATAGCGCTTGCCTAGCACGCATGAGGCACTGGGTTCAATCCTCAGCACCACATAAAAGTAAATAAATAAAAATAAAGACATATGTCCACCTACTTTTAAATAAATAAATAAATTCTTTCTTTAGTTTTTCCCCCTGGCTTAGAAACAACAAAATAATAGGTCACTGAGTGGCTTAGGTCAATAGGAATTTTATGTTTGAGAAGAGCCAAAGTGTAACTGACTCTGTATCAAATGTATAATCTGATAATTCAAATAGAGAGGAATTGTCTAAATGGTTTTAGTACTTTTCTGATCATCTGACAGTCTAGGTGACAATCTGCCATCTGAGACATAGTTCTTAAAAAAGATTGCTGTCCAATGACTGCAACCTGATCATCAGTAAACTTTTAAACTGTTCATTCTTGCTAAAACTCACGTAGCACACAGTAGCACACAGAATTGGCATGCCAAGGCAAAACATACTGGCTTCTACCTTCAAAACAATCTGTTTGTATCTGAAATGTGTTTAAGCTTTGTAGGAGTTAGTGCAGTAACAGAATGTGGTATGTTGAGTTTCTCAGATGCCATTATTAATTGTAATGTTGTTGTGAAGTTAACAAATGCTTTAGGATAAGCCTCTCGATGTGTCTGCCTGTTTCAGTTGAAATTAGGTCTGTTGGATTGGCCATCTCGCTTCAGTTCTTTGTATCTCTAGGAAGAAGTTCTCTGAGTTTATGTTATCCTGTGCCACTTGTGTAGCTTCAAGTGTAATTTTTAGTGCTTACATTCTGAGCTGGGATCCTGATTGGTTACATTAGTCAAAATACCACTGCCACTGCCGAAGGACCAAGTGTTACAGGTGACAAGCAAAGCAATCGGAAGTTGACACTCACATGTGCCATCCTGTGTCGTCTTATGGCTGTACGGTGTCATCCCCCTCCCCAGTTATTTATTATTGTTTATAACTTACTTTTTCTTACATTCTGTTGTAAATAAAGTAAAAAGCAATCTTCTTTCCAAGTGTAGCTTCCGCGCTCTGTTTCTCAGCTGGCATCAAGGGAATGTTGGCCCTTAACTTGCAGGTTGATGGGAAAGAAGACATGGAGGAAGAGGGGACAAGCCTGTGGCTGCTGCTTAGACCCAGTCCTAGAGCTCAGGTACCAGGGAGCCTTGGACCCTGGGTGGGAGGAGCCTGGGTGTCTGCTCTCATTGTCCAGCCAAAATTAGTACCCACGGTGGGTCTGCGGCCCAGTGGGACACACACACACACACACACACACATACACACGTCCATCCATCTAGCAAGCACTTGATTCCCCCTCATCTAAAGGGCCACGTACCCCAAGATCATCTATGGAAACACCACCCCGAGGGCATCATATGGCAATCTGGGCCAATTTTAAGGTGAGCTAAATCCTCCCTCCGATGCAGTTTCTCCATCTCAAGTAGCTCCTACTGTGCAGTGTCCTCCGGGCGGGGAGGTGTGGGAACACCTTTGCTTTATTGCTCCTCAGCCAGCACCACACCCTCACGCCAGGCTCCCCTACTAAGTGCCGAAATGGCAGCAGCCTCTCTCTCCCATGGGTCCAGGCAGAGGCTTCCTATAACAGTGTGTGGTCAGTCAGCCTTCTCCATGGAAATATTTCCCCAAGTCCAGTTAACAAAAATGTTCTTGCTTTGTAGCTCCATCTTCCATTACACCCCCACCCTGCCTTTTAACTCTGTTCAAAACACACCAACTTGCCACACAGGGTTGCTGGCCGACTCTGCCATCCTGGATACACCCCAGCAGGGTGTTTATTCCTGTGGCCGAGCCACACAGGGTTGTTAAATATTTGGATGTTTGTAACACGCACCCTCAACTTCCTAGAACAGTGTTCATCAAGGAATTCTCTCATTTGAGAGTGCCTCTTAGATTTCTGAATGGCCACATTCTTTTCTAACATTTCCTTGTTTCTTTCATCACATTTCTTGCCTCTGACCTCCAACTGCACCTCAGCCTCAAGTTCAAGCTACATCGTGTGTTCCTTCTCCAAGCCCTTTCCTGAAATATCTGCATGTGAAAATGTCTTTGTCAAACCTGAAGTTTTCATGGGTCTGGAACAACGGTCACCTGTGTGTGCGCTGAGGTAGGGGTGTGTGTGTGAATGTGTGTGTGTGTGCCTTAGTGTGGTGATCCAAGCAAATCCTGTTTTCGGGTTTGCAGATTGACTGAACGCATTGGCCCTTTGACATTCCACTCTCCCATAAACTCCCCCCATCCATGGTGTGCAACTTACTATAATACCTCATGCAAATCTAAGTATCTAACTATTTCCTCACTCCTGAGAAAGTTGAAAACAGGATGGTACTATGCCTTCACACTCTTGGTCTGTTTCCAGCATGGAAGAATTAAGCTAATGCAGCCAAAAGAAACCAGATGTGACCTTAGGACATCCTGAAACCGGCCATTCAGTATAGCAACGTTAATCAGCTGAATTAAGGGCCTGGAATTTAAGGGATAATTTTGTTTTACACTGTTAGTACCAACTACCTGCTTTAAGGCAGACACAAAAGACAGAATTATCCCTTCCCCTCCTTTAACTTAACGTTAAGTTTCGTTTTTCCAAATGTAAAGTCAGTTGGGCCCATTTATGCCTTTTCCCCAGCCTCTGGGACATCTCTGCCCTTGATATTCATGGTGTAAATAGCTTGAGCTCTGTGCCTTGAGACCAGTATGATAAATCCTTTACTAAAGGGAACCTTGGATCTTCAGTTTCTCAAGACCATAGCTGGGGTTATAAGCTTATCATTTGTCACAAGTAGCTTCATCAAAGATTCAGTTATTAAACTTGTCCCAAACTTTGCCTCTGGAACATTCTTTCTTTTTAGCCTGTCCCCCAAATTTGTTCACTGAATCTTTTTGTCTTTCTTGGCCAATTTTCCAGAGTCTCTCTTTGGTCGTCCCTGGGTAGCATGGCCAACCTCAGAGGGCAACACTGACCACTACAGCATTACTAACAGCCTGGGCCTCCTTTGACTTAAAGAAGGACATTTTCATGCATGGGGTTGTAGCTCAGTGGTAGAGCCCTTGCCTAGCATGTGTGAGGCCCTGGGTTCGATTCTCAGCACCATACAAATAAATAAAGGTCCATTGACAAATAATATTTTTCTTAAAAAAGCCAGGCATAGTGGTACACGCCTGTAATCCCAGCAGTTTGGGAGGCTAAAGCAGGAGGATCATGAGTTCAAAGCCAACCTCAGCAAAAGTGAGGCGCTAAGCAACTCAGTGAGACCCTGTCTCTAAATAAAATACAAGATAGGTCTGGGGATGTGGCTCAGTGGTTGAGTGTGCCTGAGTTCAATTCCTGGTACTGAAAAAAATTAAAAAAGAAAAAAAAGAAGGACATTTTGCCATTGTCAGTGGAGGGGGTTTGAGGACAGCCAAATTTGCTCTTTTTATGATTTTTAAATCTTGTTCCAAAATAACTTTCCTGCTCCCAAGGGATTTTCCATGGAAGACACAGGCAGTTTGCTGCGCCTTAGCAACCCTTAAGAATCCTTTTCTGCTTTCAGCACACAGCCACTCTCCTCAGAGCATTCCAAAGACATCTGGCTGCTCCCTGTGTGCAGAATGCCATTGAGGTGGCTCCTCAGCGCTAAGAGTATATTTTGTCTCTTCTCAGAATAGCCCTTGAAAAGGTAAAATGACTTCTACAAGTTTGAATTTTCCCACCGTCATCTTGGAGTTGTTCTGTCTGTGTTTTGTGAAAATCTGTGATACAAACCCAAGGATGTAACGTTACATCATCCTTAAATATTTTGGAGTTTGCTCTTTTGAGCCTGGATGTGGAGCTCAGGGGTAGAAGGCTTGCCTAGTGAGCTCAAGGCCCTGGATTCACAGTCCCCCGCACCTCCTCCCGCCAAAAAATTTGCTCTTTCTTGAGATACTTAACTTTCAACAAAATGCTTCAAGGATTCTGAATTGTTTGCATTTGGTACATGACTATCATTTTTGAAGCTACATAATATTCCAAAGGGTTGAAAACACCATGATTTTTCTTAAGCATTCCTTTAATATTTAATATGTAGGCTATTTTCTGGATTTTGTCATTATGTAGAGTGCTATTAGGAACCTCTTTTAACATAGTTTATGTCTTCTTTTTAGTTATTTGTTTTGGATAAATTCCCAGAAATCAAATTACTGGGTCAAAGGATATTTGTGAGTTATCACCAACATGTCCTCCAAAGAAAATTGAATAAATTTGCAATTCCACTGACAGCATATAGCAAGAACATGTGCCTCTTTTCATATGCATTTGTGCAACAGGATCTGGGTTCCATCCCCAGCACCGCAAAAAACAAACAAAAAAAAACATATATATATAGATACAGATATCTATATATATATATTATATATATATATATTTTTTTTTTTTTTTGCGGTGCTGGCGATGGAACCCAGGTCCTGTTGCGCATATATATGTGTGTGTGTGTGTGTGTGTGTGTGTGTGTGTGTGTGTGTGTAAAGCTGGGGCTGTAGCTCAGCACTAGAGCACTTGCCTAGCATGTGTGAGGCCCTGGGTTCAATCTCCAGCACCACATAAAACTAAATAAACAAAATAAAGGTATTGTGTCCGTCTACAACTAAAAATATTTTTTAAAAAAAGTAGAAAGTATTTGCACATTTACAAGTTCATGATCCTCGAACTGTTGAGCAATTGGCAGCATCCGATTCCCATGGAAGTCCTTTGCTGGTTTAATGTATCAATAGGTCAAATACCCCGATTTGGTATTCGTATGATGCAAAGCCCAGACACAAAGAAGCGCTGATTCTTTCAGACTGTAAGTGACTTCTCCAGCTTCCTAAGCTGCAGAAACTGACTGGCTACTACAGACACAAAAGCCTCACTTGAGCATGAGGAACTGTGTTTCATTGAATAAGCTATTTTCATTCTAAGTCATGTTTTTTCTCATTTTCAGTGCAAACAAGCACTGAATGCACCTTTACTTGAGGATTTCCTGGGAACTGCCATATTGAGAACCACAGAGTAGGAGCTTTGTTGACCTCCTTACCAAGAGAGAATCAGAGTACAAATTGGAGCTCGCTGTTATTTTAAGGCTTATGACCTCTCATTCAAGCAGACCTTGGTAAGGACAAGGCACAGCCATGGTGCTGAGGACTGAACCAGGGCCTCTGTATCCTAGGCAAGAGCTCTACCCCTGAGCTGCGCCCCAGCCAGGCTTCTTCCTAAGCCTCCAGCTTAACTTCTTGGGAAGAATGTAATGCTAGATTGTATATGTGCCCCCCAAACCAAGGAGAATGGGGTGCATATCCCGCTCTCTGAAGCCATGCAAGCGCCATCCCAGGGAAGAGAGAATCCACCACAGGGAAGCACTGTGGTTGTTTCTCACACATGACATGCACAGGTATAAGACCTGCCCACACATTAGTTTGGAATCTGAATGTTTCCGAACTTCCCAACTCCCCAAAACTTTCACCTTTAAAATCAAAGAAAGCGGGCTGGGGATGTGGCTCAAGCAGTAGCGCGCTCGCCTGGCGTGCGTGCGGCCCCGGTTCGATCCTCAGCACCACATACAAACAAAGATGTTGTGTCCGACGAAAACTAAAAAATAAATATTGAAAATTCTCTCTCTCTCTCTCTTAAAAAAAATTAAAAATTTTAAAAAATAAAAATCAAATCAAATCAAAGAAAGCCAGGAGTGGTGGCGCACACCTGTAATCCCAGCAGCTCAGGAGGCTGAGGCAGGAGGATCCCAAGTTCAAAGCCAGCCTCAGCAACTTAGTGAGGACCTAAGCAACTTAACGAGAACCTGCTCCTATATAAAATATTAAGAAGGGCTGGAGATGTGGATCAGTGGTTAAGCGCCCCTGAGTCAATCCCAGGTACCCCTCCCTGGAAAAAAGAAAATATTCACTGAGACAAACAATCATCTCAATTGTTTTTTCTGCTCTGACATATTCTTCACTCCTCTCAAAAGTTTTTTGGCTATTTTTCAAAGCAGTGACATTTGCCTAA